AATATAAAAAATTTTAAAACTAATTCTTATAATTGAATTTTTCAATCGTTTACTGGTTATTCATTTTTAAGAAAGTCGTCAACAGTAAAAATTAAATGAAATGCTCAATATAATACAATGAATTTTTCTTATCAACTTGTATTGATGGTCATTTGAAACAGAACGCCGACTATTCCTTCTGTTCTTAAGGCTATTGTCTTCCTAGAATTTCGTATGGTTATAAATGCCTCATTATCTTATTCTTGGTATTAATATCCTATCATTATGGTGTGCATCAACAGAAACATTAATTCCAAAAAAAATCAGTGATCTATGTTTTTTTCTTTACCAACACAACACTTAATATAAAATGAAATAAGTTTCAATAATGTTGAAACAATATTTGATACAATTTATATAAAAAAGCCTTTTATCGTGTTCTAATATAGATTCAATATCGATTTATTTTTACACAATGTAAAATCATGTCGGATTCATATATGAATTTTCAACAGGTGATACATATAATTTTGTTACGCTTTATTATATCTATGTCGAAAATCATTTATATAAATATATTTCAAAACAAAATGATTTCTTAGCTGGAAACTATATTATTAATATTGAAATATCTTTGTCAACGATATGATGTTATTGTAAGAAATAAACAAATAAATCAATTATTTACTTATTATTTAATGTTCTTCATTGTATTGATTATTTAACAAGAAAAATATTAAATATAAACCATATTTTTATAGATATAATTTCAATAAATTCACTCAATCAATCTAATCATAAAAAAAGTACAAACAACAGATAATTTAACAAAACAAGGAGTTTTACAAATATTGATAGTTAATATATGCCAATATATTCAACATTACTTAAAAATTTTGAAAGATTAAGTACACATGATTTATTATCCTATGGACAACTTTCATGTGATACTATATTAACATCAATTCATAGTAATAATACATCATCATTGTCAATTAATGGATGTTCATATATGTTTTAATAATTGAGAAGTAGAGCTTGTTTTTTTTTGTTAATATTGAATATTCAATAGAATAATTACAAATTCTAATTGGACTATATGTTCGTTGGTTAACAACAAATTCAAATAATTTATGTAATATGAATTAATACGTTCGTTTATATGTTGTTCTGATTTGTTTATATTATCAGAACAATTATCAAATTTATATGATCTATATGATGAATATTTTCGTACATTAAATGATGTCATTAATAAGCTAGGGTTTATAAAAATCTGATATGTTACTTGGACAAAAACAACAAAAGAATATAGTGAATTATTTATAAATGAACATGTTAATAAAGAACAAGAAATGATTGATCGATTATCAATAATATCATCATCAGATAGTATTTTTATTGAACCTGTTGAAGAATTATGTAAACATATTAAACAACCATCTACATTACCATTGTTACTTGCACATATTGGTTTATCAGATCGTTTAATGCATAAAATGATTTTAGAATTTGCTGCATCAATACAACACTTATATTCTCAAATAGTTGCATATACAATTCCTGCTGTTTTTTGTGGTTTAATTAATGCACATTATTTAGCTAAAGTTAATAAATGGACTTTCTTATTAATGAATAGTATTGCACAAAGAAAATCAATACGTATGGCTATATGGGGACTAAATTGTCTTATGTTAAGTACATGTCCATCACATAAAACTACTAATACATTGTAAGTATTTACTTAAATCATTTATCCTTATTGTTTATTTTTTGCTAACTTTTTTACATTAATTTTTAAAGAAAAAAACTTTATATTAAAATTTCATAGTGATGATTTGATAGTGAATTCATATTGTATATGAGTTTTTTTTGAAAAAATTATTAAGACTTACACGTACAATTTAACTTTATTTGACAAAGATAAGTGGTAATGCAGTAATGAAAAGAAAATATTTTCCATATTCGAGTGTTATGAATTTACTTATTATACTTATCTATGTCCATCACTATGGCTAGATAAAAAACCAATGTAATGTCCTTAAATCTGATCATAAAATCAATGAATTACACTGCAGTTTAACGTAAATACTTTACTCTATTTAACGAGCTGTAAATCAAACAATCGATAAATCTCACTCTAAAGTTGGCTTTTTTTCTCAGAGAACTCTAAAGAGAATGTCAAAATGAATATGCAAAGATAATACAGTGTATGTCTTATGTTTTTAAGTTTCCATCGAGGTTATCACGTTCCAGTACTCGTTTTGAAAAATTAAACGATCGTTCATTTCTTCTATATTGTCTGTAAGTATTATAAAACGTATAAGAAAGCTTGTAAATATTAATCATATCAAACAAAAAAAAATCTATTTTACTTATTTTAGTTAACGAATATTGAACAAGTATTCACAAATCAATTGAATACAGAAAAATTACAGGCTGATTTACTTGCAGCTATTCAAGATACGATATTATCATCATCTTGATCCTTTCTAATATTTGCCCGTCTTTATCTCGACTTGGATCCAGTGATTTTTCCTGTTAGATATCTTTGCATGTGTGTGTATATACCTTTTTTCGATTAGTAGATCAACAATTATTGTACATGATGTATGCTAATGCGTATTATTTCCTTTTCTCTTTTATTTGTTGTTGCTGTTGTTGGGTGTGGGTGTGTGGGTGTGGGTGCGGATGTGTGTGAGTGTGGATGTAGGTGTGGGTTGGTGTCCGTGTGGCTGTGAGTGTGTTTTTGGTGTGTGGCTGTAGCTGGGTATGAATGTGCGATGTGAATGTTGGTGTAGGTGTGAGTCTTCTCTTCAGCAAGCACACACGTCCACCCACATCTACACCCACACCCACACCCTATGAGATGAGATACGATTTGGCTATATGTGAGGAAAAAGAATTTTGCAATCTATGTGATTCTACAAGACTCTTGTGCTGAGGTACTCCTGGGGTCGGAAAAATTTTTCATATCACATTTAAGCATATGGTCTCCTTAACACGCTAATCACGAAAATCATATTTTTATTGAAGTTTGATCGAAAAATAAGAAGACCTCTCTCGTTCGAATGCTGATAGTGCTCAATCACAGTAGCAAAAATCGTTCCTAAACCAAAAGATCCTTCAAAAAGAAAACAATTCCAGGGGTTTTTCATCAAAAAATCGTCTCTCAGTGGTCATAGTTACTTTTACAATGAAAACACGGGTTATTTCTTGTATTTTATAACTGAATGAATGGATGTTTTGAGGCTATATCCATGTTTTGTCAGCTGCAGTTCTGCCTTCTGGCAGCTGGTCAAATATCGGGTTTGACTTTTTCTCCTGATGAAAATATGTTATTCAGAAAGAATTGATTAAATAATGTATTCACTGTAAGTATTGAAGAGAATGTAAACTGTTATACGAAACTATGACATGTGAACTTTTAACAAACACTTACATGTAACAGAAAATTCGGACCGGGAATGTGCTATCTTCAAAAAAAAGTAAGTAATACTCTTGAAGACTCTTCCAGATCTAGATAGACCACGAAAAATAGATTTATACTGAATTCATATCAACACCGCGAAGAGAATTTAATACAGGCCAATGGTAAAATTTTTTATATTAATGAAACAGGGAAATTGCTTGATAATTTCCATATTACTCGAGCGCTCAATGAGTTCTATCAAAAAACACTACAAGAAGCCAGAATCGAAGGCAAAAATATTTTTCAATCCCTGGAGAGGACCCCAGGTACGAAAAATCGAAAAGTAAAGTTTCGAAGTTTTGAGTTGGCAGAAAGGCTCAATAGGGCATCCTGATTAATATACAAATGAAATCTGAAACGAATCTCATGAAACGAAAAAGAGAGAAGCCGTCACTTGTTCTTTAAAATTGTTACCCTCTAACATTGTTTCGTAGTTTCGACCTGTTATCTCCTATTTGAAACATTGAAAGCCACCTCATCTTATGCAGAATTAAATGCGCTATAAGAATCCATAATAAAATTCATGGTTAGTTTTAAAACGGTCATAAAAAAATGGAATAATTTAAAAAGATGAGATACATCATTTGGTGCAGATTTGTATGCTCTTTCGAATGAGATATTCCGCGACCTTGTACAATGTAACATGACTTCATAAGATGAAAAATAATGAAATTTCGTTTTTTATCGCAATTTCGAAGGATGCTTCAATTGAAATGCCTATACACCTCGAAGAAAGGATATAAAAGTCTAAAAGAAATTTCGTCAACCTAATTTTTCACGTAGAATCGAATGAAAGAAAAAAAATGGGTGTGACAAAAAAATTATGTTATGGTCTATCAAACGTGGACTCGATATTCTTATGGACACTCTCTTAAGTTTCTAAAAAAAAAGGAAAATGAATTGTAGTCTCACATATTATCATTAAAAATTGACTTATTGTGTGACACGCCAATAACGATCTTCGTAGGATGTCAAGGTTTATTCTCATTCAATATTTTCAAAGATTTGACCTTCAAGTGAGTTGATCTAAGGTTTTCTATATTAAAACTTGTTTTCGCCAAGAGACTGCTTATTGAACGATCGTATAAACAGATGATGTAATGTTTGGTTACTCCATTTAGTAAAAATTCTGCTTAATAACTTAAGGCTAATGTATCCACAATGTGTTTAGATATTTTACATGTAGAAATATGAACAAATTATTGAATAGAAAATACAGAGAAAAACATATATTGAGAATGAAATTAAAACAATACTATGAGGAATAACAAATAGCGTTTCTCTTAATATAGTTGTCATTCATTACGACTTATCTTCATCAAATTTTTCTTTCTCCATAAAGACTAAAGAATTATGCAATCTTTTGCAAGGTGTTACTCTTTCCCATGGCTAAACAATCAGGTTTAATCATACATCTCTATGTGTATTTATTATATAACGTATGCAATAAATTAAATGAGTCTTTCAATATTTTCTCAATATCTCTACTATCTTTTATCATTTCGGATTGAACTTTTTCCAAAAGATGCAGTATGAAATTGTTAACAAAACCATAAGAAAGTGTTGTTTGAAAAAATTTCTTCGACAGTTACTGTAACAATGTATTGTTAAAAATTTTCATGCATAATATTGAGTGCTTTTGTATTTTTGTGTCTTAATGTTGAAATATTGAAAAGCTTCGCTGTTCACTTTGTAGAGCTTGAAAAGGTCTATTTTATAGCCATACTTAATAATTTTCTTAACAAAAACCTTTCGTGTAAAATCCGCATTCTTTTTTTTCAGATTTAAGAGAAAAACAAATATTTGTAGCGCATGTTTTCAATGTTTAATTCCGTGTAAAACTTCAAATTGAAATGCATAAATCTGTTGTCTAATATTTCTCATGAAGATCAAGACTTCGATGTAAAAAGTATTGTAAAAATGCAGCGATAAGGTAATAGCACGAACTTTTTCCAGTGCATTTATAACTCATTAGGATCTACATGAACCACATTGTTCTAATTAAAAAGCGATTAATCGATAGCATTTGATAAAAATTCATATCAGTAAAGAATACTAGGCATGTGTGAGACCAAAAACTAAAACTTTACCGACACTAGGAACATACTAGATTCACTTTCCATTATACTAGGAGAAGCTGACGGTGGACCTCACCCCGTTTCTGCGGTTTCTCGTTAAAAGTTCAACGAAAAATGATCAAAGTTTCAAGACAGATAGATCTCGATAAGCTGAGCAAAACTTACCATAGACTCAAAATTTCCAGATGCTTCCTACAGGGAGATATGGAGGTTACACAAAGGTCAAAAATCACCAGAAGTTCCTCATCTCGCAAGTGTGTGTGTTTTAATAAATATCGTTCCTAAAGCTCAAGAGAAATAAAATACTCGAAGCACTCAAAAGTACGCACCCCAATTTGAGCCCGATCGGATGTAATGTGCGGAAGAAACGGAAAGAACACTTCATGTTGTTTTTTTGTTCAAAAATTGATTTTGAGAAAAACGAAAAACAAACTTTTCTATATGTATCAAGATGATTTTGTTTTCAACTAAAGTGATCGAAAGAATTTTGATTTTAACATCCAAAAAAAGAGGGCGTATCCTTTTAATACACCGAACATCGTCGTAGATTCTTCATGTAAATCTCTATTACATTTTTTTTTGACAAATAAATCAATCATAAATAATCCTATTCGAAAACTTTCTATTATTTTCATTTGTTTTCTTTTTTCTTTCATGTATAAAAATGTAATTTACAATATGAAATAAATCGATGCATATATTTAAATAAGTTAGAAAATATGAGCAGTTGCGTGTATACATAAAGAAAAGGTGAAAACAAATAACAAAAAAAAAAAAAAAAAGAAAAACGGAGGAAAGGGCTTGTTCTTATTCGCAATGTGCGTATAATATACATATAATCTAACTACACACATATACATATGTCTACGAAATACATTTAAATGTATGTCACAACGTTATTATTTACAAATAACAATGCACAAACTTACATACTTACAAAGGAAAAAAAAGAAACAAACATGTTCACTAAAGTGACGTAGGAGAAAAAAAAAGCACACAGACAAATACATACTATGAATGTATGTTTGTTTTTTTTATACAAATAAATAAATAGAAAACACACAAACACACACACAAAACACATTTATTATATATTGAAAGACAAATGAACAGATTTTATCTTTAATTCTTTCATTGATTAATTATAATGAAGAAAATTTTGTGTTGATTGTTGTAATGTTGACATCATTGGATTATAAATATTTGAATCAATCATAGATGGTATTTGTTGTTGTTGTTGAACATGAATAAATGATGATGGTGATGATGATGAATTTGTTGATTTATTTTCTGTTTCCCAAAGATGACGTACAGCTTGAATTTTATCAGCTAAACCTTGTTGACTATCAACAAATGAATGATCATATTGATTTTCTTGCTGTTGCTGTTGTTGTTGTTGCATATGATTTGCCATTGGATTATTATTATTTATTATATTATTTCGTTGTTGTAATGAAAGCATTGATAAAAATCGAAGAACATTCTAAATTAAAAAAAAAGAAAATTCAAAGATGATTTTTAGACTTAAATATCTCATTAATGATGAATGAACTTTTAGTACAAAAATTATTTTGAAACAGTCGATTTCATTTTGAGTTGAGTCATAAAAATTTACTCCATCTGAGACACTAATGTTCATTAACAAAAAAAAAAAATTTTTTTATTTTCTTACAATGAAAAGAAAATTATCGTAAATAGAATTCCTCGGAATACTTTTTTATCGAAGGGTTACATCAAACATTCTTTTTGAGTATTTGTTAGATGACACACCGATATGCAGATATTCAATAGATTTAATGAGAAAAATTCTACACTTAGATATTCGTGTTATATTCTAAAAATAACTGCCAATTATGACTTGATTATTATAAAGCTTATCTATGGAATACGTAGGACGTGTAAGAAGTAGCATTTGGAGTGACTATTAGACTTACAA